GATCAGACCCAAAACGCAGATGTTGCCAGAACTGGAAAACCCAATGTCACAAGAGGGGTCGCTGGACTTCCTCAGGCTCAGTTCCCCCGGGCCATCCGGTGGCTTATGAGCCTGAAAATAGAAGGGTATCCTCTTGTTGTCATTTTCCAGAAGCCAACCTCGAAGACTTTCTAAAAGGATCAGGCTACGAAACCGAGCGGGAACCCGCCAGGAGCGGTTTCTTCCCACCGGGGCGTTCGGAGGCTGGGGATGGCCTTGCACAAAGACATCGTTGGGCCCTTTAGGCACCAGGCTAAACTCTTTGCGTGGACGTGGGGGGGAGGCTTGGGCAGGGAAAAACAAAAAACCGCTTTAAGACAAGAGCCCTCTTTATCTTGAGTCAAATTTAAAGGATGGTAGTGTCTCAAGGTCGTGTCCACTTCGATTGGAAAGAGGGTACAACTTGGCCAAGGGAACATAATGTTTTTTTCCACCAGGCCAAAAGACCCAAAAAAGGAAATGTATTTCGCACGCAGTCAAATGGCTCTGAAATTGTTAGTGTAGGGCATGGATCCCCACTGAATTCTGATGTCACCATTCGGATGCGGGGCCCATCAAAGCTCATCCATATGGGAATGCCCCCCCCAAAAAAAAAACAACTCTGTGTGCGTTTGTTTGTTTTGTTTGTATTTTTGTTTGTTTGTTTGTTTGTTTGTTTGTTTGTTTGTTTGTTTGTTTGTTTGTGAGTGTTGTGTGTATGTTTTGTTTAGGGGCCCCCCTCCCAATTTTGAAAGCCACCTAACCATCTCCACCATTTCAGGCAGGGACTCACCCTCCCATCTAGAAAACAGTTTGGATGCGGCGTTTGTGGATCCACCCCTGTAGGACATGAAGCACATAAACAAGAGTCAACAGGGGGCTTGAAAGGGGTGAAATCCACGTAAGCAGCTCAAATTATAAGCCGTTTGCAAGAAGCAACTTGGGCCAAAACAGCAACTCGGGCATCAGCTGCTCCAACGGGTTTCTACATGTTGGTTTCTTTTCTTGCTGGTGCTCAGCAGGGAATGAGGGAAAATGAACCCAGGATTGCCCTTAAAGGAAACGGGGTCATTCCATTTCTCATTTCCTTCATTTGCTGAGCACCAGCAAGATCAAGGCGAACCTGAAACGGGAAAAGATGTTTAAACGCTTGCGTCTTGCCTCAGGGATTCCCTTGAAGCACGAGGGATGGCAAAAAAGGGGGTCCATCTGCTGAGCACCAGCAAGTCTTTTCTCAACTTGGGCATCAGCTGTTTCAACTGGCTTCTACGTGGTGGTTTGTTTTCTAGACTAGGTCCGCCAGTAGTGCCCTTTTACAATTTTTTGGGGGAGGGTGCCCCTACGGAAAAAAAAAAAAAACAAAAAAACACAAGTACAGACAAAAGTTGGTACCCTTATTCTAACCTCTCTACTGGAGGGCAGTCGCGCAACCCGCCCAAAAGCCGAGCTTGTGACCCTGTGGTTGTCCATTGCTTGTAGGAAGCTTCCAGTCCGACCGAAAGCATGTACGGCAGATTGCGCGCTCGGGTCTGCCTAAATACTTGGGGCTTGGGAAGCGCGCGCGTTTCAGCCTTTTATTGGGGGTGTGTCTTTTCCTGGGCGATTTTCCGGGCGAAAAAAGCCAAAAGCCCAAGCGGATGTTCTGGAGTTTCGGGCGTGAAATGGGTGTGGCTCAAAATTAAACCGGAGGGGTTATGCAGGTTTTGGTCCATGTTTCCACTTACCAGGGTTCCATTTTGGTACCGGTTTTTTGAGCCACAGCCAAATGTGTCTGCATTTCAATGTCAGGTGTGGACCTTTGAGGCGATGGGCCCACCTAGACAGGTTTTTACATCTTCGTATCCTTTTCTGGATCTCATGTTGGTTTTCTTTTCTACATGTTGGTTTTCTACTTGTTGGTTTTCTACATGTTGGTTTTCTACATGTTGGTTTCTTTTCTAGATCTCCTTGGACACCAAACGCCACCGGCAGTTGGCTACGACGTGCTGCTGGGGCTGCCGGACTTCAGCTGCGGTGCGCTGGCGCCGCCCGCGGGGTACCGCCTGCGGGCCGCCGCGGAGTTGCTGGACTGCGGGCGGCCCTGCGACCCCGTGGCGGACCTGGCGGCCCGGCGGGAGATGGGGCCGAAAGCGGCGCTGGGGGGTGGTGGCGGGGGTGGGGGTTGCTTGGGTTTTGGGTGGGGGGGGGGGAGGTTGGGAGGTTGGGGGGTTGGTGGGGGTTGGTGGTTCGGGGAGGTGGTTGGGGGCGAGGTGGTTGGGGGGGAGATGGTTGGGGGGGAGGTGGTTGGGGGGGAGGTTGGGGGGGAGGTGGTTCTGGGGGGGGTGTACTGTTTTGGGGGTTGGGGGGGGGGGGTTGGGGGGTTTGGGTGGTTGGGCAATTCGTTGAGTGGCCGGACGGCTTGCCCCGATGCTTCCACGCCCTTTCCAGGGTGAGTCCTTCAAACTGGTTCATGGTGGGAAGGGGGAGCTGGCAATCTCCAACTTTGCCTTTAAAGAGGGAGCCTTTCGGAGCCACCAGGAGCTCTGCAAAAAATATCTTTCGTGTTCTCCGACTGAGCTTTGCAACTCTCGCCGTACCAAGCACAACTTTTCCTAGTCTGGAAGCGTTGCTGCCACTTATCGGTTCAGCCGAGATGGGGATGCGAATTCGCATTCGCAAGCTTGGGCAAGCCTAGCTTTCGCGGCGCAGCCGCCCAAGGCGAAAGAAACGGCGCACGTGTTTTCTTCACCCGAGAGGTTGGGATGCCGGAAATGCGGTCAAACGCCTCATGGGCTTTTGACGTGCTTTTTCCTCGGGCACGCGAGAGCTTGCTGAGCTAAGTTTGATTTGGCCAGGGCACTCAGGTAACCTCACATCTTGGTTGCTCCCAGCCATCCGGTTCCTAAGCTTTTTAGATCCTGTTAGTGTTTAGTGGTAGCTTCCGAATTTAACCCACTAAAAGTTAGCCACTTTTAGCGCGGTGCAAGTCCGCATCCCTGAGTATGGGGACCACATCAATGAATACCCGCGGGTAAATGGAACAGAACGCATAGCCAGGGGGGTTGAGTGAAGGATTTGTGGCCTTGCCAAAGCCGGCGGTCGGTCAGCTAGTTGCAACATGACGAAGGTGCACACTTGCTCCGTTCCCCAACATCAGGTTCGGTCTTCTGATAAAAGGGTCTGTGCACCAAGCGATGTTTGTTGGGATGCTCCTTTCACGTATTCATTGGATGGCTACTGCGAGGTGCGAGCTCGATTGTTTCAGTGTACCCTTTTCGTTTTTGCTTCTTCTTTTTCTTCCTTTTTTTTTAAAGGTGTTGTGGCCATGTTTGGTGTGTGTGTGTTTTTTCTTTTTTTGGGGGTGAATCGTGTGGTAGCCATAGTTCTCGTTTTTTTGGTGGGGGGTGGGTGGTGCCCGGCGATGCGGAAAAACACTCCTTCGCCGGGACTCGACTCGAGGATTTCTGCTTCGCCGTGGCCCACAGTTTCAGCGTTTCTGGGCCCGGGTGGAGTCCTCCGACGCACCTCACGCAGCTCGGCCGCCCGTTTTGGTACCCTCGCTTTTTTTTAGATGTGGCCATGGGTCAAAAGCCATCCATGTATTTTCGGTGAACAGGTCTTTGTCTGTTTTTTGTTGGACGTAGCCGTGGGTCAAAAGCCAAATCGTACCCCCAGTGAACATCCCAATCCCATCATCAAAGAATGGGTGGTGAATTCAATTACCCCCAAAATGGGATCCCATTGATTTTGACCCACAGCCTTGTCTTGAGTGTGGTAGGCTTGGGTAGACAGACTTCAGTCCTCCATTGAGCATGCTATTTTGGCAATTGAGGAGGATTTCAGACTCACTGACCTGTTTGAGAGGTGAAATCCTTTTGAATGGAAGTTTTGCGTGGAATTGAGCTTCTCAGACTGGTGTCCCCGTTCTTTGTGAGCCATTTCTTGGGAGCATTTACTATTTTGCGAAGCACGCAGATCTGGATCTTCAAACACCTGATCCGCGGATTTCGATTTCGAATCCGCATACCCAGTGCTTGTTCCGTCTTTTCTCCGAAGGCTTTTTATGTTCCCTCTAAAATCAAAAACTCAAGGGCGGCCCCTTTTTTTTCCGCGGACGCGCAACATTTGGAATGCTTATGCACGTTGACCAAGTTCTCTCTTGAACCCGCAAACTGAACTTGCAAATCCAGCCTGAAACAATGGCACAACATTATAGGCTCGTGGTCCGATCGATAAGTATAGTACGTTTGCTGTTCGCCTCGTTGTGTTGACATTGCGCAGACGTTCCCCTAGGACAGCCGCGCGTTGTCATGGGGTTTCCTGTCCAAAGTTTTGTTTCAGAGGGGTCTCGTTTTTAGGCTTCCATTTGCTTAAGTTTTTTGTTTCCCCCCCTCGTTGGTTCTAAAAGGAGCTGATCACTGCTGGACATTTTTTCTATTTTTTCCAGGGGTCTCAACCAAATAGAAATATCCAGTGGCGGGCCCTGGCTCTTGTTAAAAACACAGAATCGAGCCGTCCGTTGTGAGCACATTCTCAAATGGCTTCCATTCAAAAGGATGTCACGTGTCAAAAGGTCAGTAGTCTCCTCGTAAATTGCCAAAATGGCATGCTCAATGGAGGATTGAAGTGTGTCTACCCAAGCTTACCACACTCAAGACATGGCTGTGGGCAAAACGAATGGGATCCCATTTTGAGGTAGAATTCACCACCCATTGTTTGATCTATTTTAGTGACGGGATTGGGATGTTCACTGGGGGTACGATTTGGATTTTGACCCATGGCCAAATAGGTTAAAGAATCTTAGCTTCGGAACTCAGCGGTCCGCACTACTCCAAGGAACTCCTCTAAAAGTAGTTGGTCCACGGCTCATATTCCGCCGTGGATCAAAATGCAATTTCGTGTGTTTTCACCCCTTCGGGCAGCTGCAAACACTGATATTTCAGCACTGTACCCATGCCAGCCAGATGGTAAGAACACCCGCTCACGCGCACCCGCTCAGCACTGCACACATGCCAGCCAAATGATAAGAACACCCGCTCACGCGCACCCGCTCAGTACTGTACCCATGCCAGCCAAATGGTAAGAACACCTGCTCACGCGCACCCGCTCAGCACTGTACCCATGCCGGCCAGATGGTAAGAACACCCGCTCACACGCACCCGCTCAGTACTGTATCCATGCCAGCCAGATGGTAAGCACACCCTCTCACGCGCACCCGCTCAGCAATGCACACTCATGCGAACTGCCACGCGTGCTTGGCAATAGGGCTCGAGCACCACTGGGTGACACACCCAACTAAGACGTTCACGAAGCAAGTGAAGCCAGGCTCGAGTATGCTTAGTGCTGTTGCGGGCACGCAGGTTTTGGATAGGACTTGGCGGTGTCTTAATTAAGACTTGGCTGCCGCCGAAGGCGTGTGCCAAGCTTAAGATTGACGGGCCTAGCCAGTTCCACCCTGCAGTGAAGCGGCAGGTTTTCCAGTAGAATTGGCGGCAGAAGCTAGGTGCTCAAAGCCCATCGAGTTTTTGCTTGCCCTGGAGGCTCTGTCTGTGACAAGGAACGCGGTCGGTGTTTGATTGGGAAAAAGCAGTGCGTCGTGCCGGATTGAAAGTAGTTCACGAGGAACAAAACCCTCGTTTTCATGTGGAAAAACGAACGAAAACAGTAACCCTGCTTGGGGTGGACGTGTTAAAAGCACGGAAATCACTTAAGGCTTCGGTTCATTGGGATTTCTTCTAGGGAAACACGTGTTATTCTTGACTTGTGCTACTGAAATCCTGCTTTGACTCACGGCGGAATATGAGCCGTGTTCCTAGTAAAAGTAGTTTGCTTCCTTCATGCCTTGAGGGGCTTCAATTGGTGTAGGGCTTGGGCCGTTGGGCGTTGCAGTTTTGCAAAAGGGATCCGGCTTTCCTCTTTGTAGGTTTTTTGGCAGAACTCAGGTAAGCAGGGTTGTGGAAAATGGGGCTGAGGGCTCTGTGATACCAAGAACGCAAGCGACACAAAGTGGTCATGGGGCTGGCCCACTGTGGTATCTCACAACCACACAAGTAACCCCTGGTTGGTGTCTTGTATTAGTGGTTTGTATTAGTTTTTGAACCCTTGATGTTTTTGAGTGCACATGGGAAACCAACTAGCCCCCCAAACCCCAAACCAAACCAATCCAAACCACCGATCCAAACCACTAACTGGCGGCGAGCTAGGGAATGCTGGTATGCTTCAAATGGGATCTAAAAAGTGAATGCCTCTGGGTTTCGAGATAAGACAGTGTAAATCAGGGTTGTGGGTTCAAGGGGTTTCTCCCCACTTCTGTGATACAAGGGAACCCCCTTTATATGAACACACTAGTTTTTGGGAAGCCCTTTCCGTTGTATCACAGAAGTGGTCATTCCCCACATAGGGTGACGCACAAAACAGGTGTTCTTCCTTACGAGTGCCCGCAAAAACAGGCTCGACTTCAGCAGAATGCCCTTGGATCAGTTGCTTTGCCGTGTGCTGAGGCTTGACCCGGCTGGCAGCTGCATCTCTGGGGTGACGAACTTTGGTGGGCAAGGAATGGTTGACATCATTTTGCACACTTCGAGGCGGTTGGGTCTGGGGTTCTGGGGTTCTGGGGTTCTGGGGGTTCTGGGTTCTGGGGTTTTGGGGTTCTGGTCGCGGGGAAACGCGTGCGTTCCCCCAAGCGAGGGTTTCGAGTTGAGAAAAAACTTGCATAGAGAACTTTGGTAGAGAGCGCATGCTCAGAGAACTCGGTTTTCAGAACTTGCTTGCTATGTAGACTTAGCTTTCTGAGGCGGCCTTTTTTTTTGATCCACGCCGATCCCCACAAAGGGACTTGCGGGGAAGTTAACAAGTCGGCTGCGCGACGAACGGAAAAGTCGCCAAAAGCCGGAGTCCTTTAAAAGCTCGACCACACCGATCCCTGCAGAGGGTTGTAATGCACGCGTGTTCTCGGCATTGGGGGGTCCCGGGTTCGATTCCCCGCTTATCCGCGGGAAAGCTTTGCAAGCTAAAGTCACAACATGTCAGTGCGAAAGTAACGCGCGAAGAACGTCGCAGCTTATCAGTGCAAAAACAATACGCGAAGCACACGCCGCAACTCCAGCTTCACGTTCGCAAATTTTTAAGTACAAAGGCGCGCGCAGAAATTGGCAGATAGAACTTGCGCAGAGCGACTTCAGCAGAGCAACCGGCGCAGGGAGACTTGTACGGAGTGTAAGTGTTAAGGGGCTCGCAGGGTATGCGGGATGTGGCTTTCGTGCGTGACACACTGACCATTTTCCCCCAAAAGCCGTCGGAAAGCAAAGCGCTTTGGAAGGCGTCCACTCGTTTTTCTTCTTGGTTTTTGCGCGTGACAATGACCTGATGCTCAGATGGAGCTCACTAGGTGCCCTTCTCTACCCAACTTTTTCGGTTGGGAGGGTTGCCCTAAAATAAACCGCAGAAAAAAAGGGTACCAACTTATTCTAACCTCAAATCTGGAGGACCTAGATGTTGGAGATGGAGCCCAATCCAATCTCCTCCGATCTTGTGGGTCTCGCAGACCGCTGGAGTACGTGACCTTCCGCGTGGAGCATGCGACCAACGATTCGCATCAGGCACTTCCCAGACTCATCGTTGAAGGCCGGCCGGGGGGAAGATGTGCTGACCAGGGTTTTTGGTTGGCCTTGAAAGGCTCTTGGGCTCTTAGTTGGCCCGAAAAAGGGGGGGGGGTTTTGAACAAAAGGCTCCCGAGCTGCAGGCCACGTCGCGCTGCCCGGCGACGCGGTCTTTGACCTCCTGCCCGATGGCTCCGAAGTGTTTTTTGCGCCCCGGACGTGCACAGGGCATTGTTCTGAGTTGCCCAGTTGCCCAGTGGCTTGCTTCGGGTTGCGAAGTCCATTTCGCATCACGTTGGAACCACTGGGGAACCATAACGAGTGCTTGGTATTTACAAGGGAATCATCAATCCAGGGATTCTCAGGTGGTGCAGGATTTCGTCCATCCACAGTAGGGCTAAATCCTTACACGCTCATGAGGCAACACGGGGTTTTCTCCCAATTTTGACACCTACCAATTGAGCTCCTCTACCTGGGTACTTGGGTCTTGCGTGGCTTTCCTTTAAACCAGCCCTTAGGGTGGCTTCAAAAGCCACGCCCGGGCAAGCCCAAGGAAAGCCATCAATCTTGCTGGCGGCCCTTGTCTCTTCATTTGTTTTTTAAAGACAAGAGTGTGACACCTCTTCACTGTGAGCATCGCATTTTGAATGGACGTTCGGGTTGAACTGTGTTTCGAGAATTTCTGTGTTAATTCACTCATGTGAATATACACTTGATTGGACATAAGATCCTGTGTAAATTCTAAGCTTAATTTCCAGTAGGTTTACCAATTTGAGATATAATTTCTAGCGGGATTTGGAATAAGCACTTCCTTATTGAATCTCAGTGAAAACCTGTTCAAGTTCTGATTGAGTTTTGGAGAGCGGCCATTGGTGGAGATGTGAATCAAGTACGAAGAAAGCTACAATACATTGCGTTGTTTTCGTTTTTTTCTGACCGAGGTAGTGCTAGGGGCTAGTCAAACGATTTGAGACCGCTGCATTCTTTCTTTCTCAGTTCCACTTCATGTATTTATGATATTCTATTCAGTTTCTGACTTAAGAATAGAATTTGAATGGGCCAGATCTCAATCACAATTTCTATTGTACCTTCGAGTTGTTATTATAATTGTAAGTTCTTTTTGAAGTTAAAAGATGCACGGCATTTCCTGTCCAATATCATATTGACAAACCAAACCCCAAAAGGGCGCCCACGGCACATGGGTGAATCGTAGCAACCTCACAGGAAGGAAGTATTGGGGACTAGCCTTGGCTTGGGTCAGAGACACATCTTCGTGTGCAAAGAGAGGCCAGTGCTTGTCGTACCGACAGCTTCCGACAGCTGGTGCCACGCAATTGGATCTATTGGGTTTGGTTGAACCAGGCGAACAACTTTGGCCGAGTTTGGAGGTTCTGAGCTGATTGCTTCTTGATTCTGTCGAAAAACCAAGACTCAAGGGAAGCGAATCGCCGAGTTTGGAGGGAAGTTTCTTTTTTTGGTGCTCGGGGTTGAATATATGAAGTTCCTGAGTTTTTTCTGCTCGCGTCCTCGGCTCCTCGAATCTGAGTACCACAACGCCTCCCAGACCAGCAACTCCAGCTGGAGTCTCTGCCTCCGCGAGCAATGCGAGGTTTTATGCCCGGGGAAGGCGGGGGGTGACCCTCCCTAAAAAGGGAGCCGCCGCTCCTTGGTAAAAGGTTCTTGTTGGGATGTCGGCGGAAATTTTTGACCTCCTCATTTGAACTTCCTTGCAGACACTCAACGGATATTATGTTTTTAAACCCTCGTCTTAGTTGCAAGTGGAAGGCCAAAAAGGAGGTTGCTTTAAGCAGGACCGCAAGAGCTTTGTTGCATTTGGTGTCAAGCCCGCGACGGAGCCGCGGTTTCTTTCATATCGGCCCTTCTTGGCATTTGTGAGGAACGCTCAAGTGCATGCGCCCAGCTCTGCCTGCCAAATGGTGAGCGCACCCGCTCAGGTGCATCCCATGTTGAAACCAGGTGGGTGCGGCTCAAAATTAAAGACCTAGGGTTACGCAGGTTTTAGTGTTTGTTTCCAATTGCGAAAGGTGCCATTTTTGTACATTTTTTGTTGAGCCACAGCCAGGTGGCTACTTTTTGCCGCCCTGAGGCATTCTCCCTTTTTCGGGAAGCGCGCCTGCTCGAGCGCACCCGCTCAGCACCGTACGCGCCAGCCAAAAGATACGCGCGCCGGCCATATGCTAAGCGCACCTGCTCAAGCACACCTGCTCGGCAATGCTTGGCTAGACCACTGTGGAATGACGGTGTAGGCAAAGCTCTTGGACGCTTCGACGGAGGTTGTGTCAAGTGCGGACATTTTCGGGGAAAGGAGTTCGCCTGGGGGGGGGGTTCTGGTGTTTCAATTTCTGGGTTCCGTTCCACTATTCTGAAAACCAAAAAATAACAACATTACTTGAACATCTGTCATTTGGCCATTGGGGGTTTTAAGAAAAGGCTGTAGGAGTGGTTGCCAGACCTAGGTAGCCGCCTCCAGTATGAAGGACCCTTGTTTTATTTATTGCCTGAAAGGAACCTAAAGGAGGTTGTTTAAGACCTTGCTTTTTATATCCAAGGAGAGTCAAAAGGAGTTTGTTTCAACCAGGACACGTTCTCTTTGGTGTACAGGGGCTCCGGGCTCACCCTGCAGGCAGTCAAAAAAGCCTGCCCTGGCCTTGTCTGCGTGCCGGAAGACTACGCAGAGTGCTGCCCGAGGATATCCGAGACCTGGCACGTGAGCAGGAGGGTTGGTGAGGGGGTCTGCTTGCGTGATCGCCCGCAAGCCTCCCTCCAAAAATATCCAACCTATGCTTCCAGAATGGAGGGATATGGAAGGGCTACAGAATGTCCCACTCATTTTCCCGCGTTCTCGGGGGACGTTGCAACCCAAGAATCCATTGGTGTCACGCTCAACCCGCCTGCGGTTGATTTAAAAGGTGAGCCTCAAGCAAAAGAAAGAGACACACCGTCAAAAACGGCCAACCCCACCCCGAAGCCTTCCAAGGGCGCTTTGACCCACCTTGTCCAGACCAAAAGGACAGCTTGCCAGTTGGGGGTCTGATGGTTGCCGCTGGGGATCCGATTTTGCCTAGAGATCCCCACCCCCTTCAAAATGGAATTGGGGGAGGGGGGTGAATTCTGGAGATCTCCATTTAGGGTGAGCCATTTTCCCTTTTGTTGGGACGAGTAAATAAATGGAATTGGGGGACCCCCCACCCCCCTCCCCCTTAAGGTAGGGAAGATGTCTAGAGGAGCTTTTCGGAGCTATCAGGAGTTTAAGGATGGTGGCCGTGGGGCAAGCTGTTCGGGAACTGTTCAGGTGCCTGAGGGCTACGAATGGGAAAGTGAGGTACTCTCAATACAGACTACTTCATGATCATTTCATGATCATAGCAACATCTCAACTACCTCAATTTAGGTTGGAGGTGGGTCCATCTCGCAGTCCTTGCCACAATCAATGGGGTGATAGGAGGCTTTAACACCTCATCGCACGCTCCTAGTTATCCTGGCACAGACCCTCCTCCCCAGAACCGCATGACATACGTGTCCCTTTTCAACCGCTTAACCATTGCCTGACGGGGCACTTTTAGACTTTTAGATGACCTTCCTCTTGGTGGGCGTGATGTTCAAGGTGTACACTTTGGTGCATTTTGCTTAGGACTTCAACTTTTTGTGAACTACTGGGTTTTCCATTAAACCACTAAAAGTTAAGAACTTTTAGCAGGGCTTCGCAGGTGGCGCAACCGAGTAGTTAAAAATAATAGGGACTTTCCGACGGCCCATGTGAGAACAAACATAGGGGAGTTTCCGGCGGCCAATGTAAGAAACTGCCAATGCCAAGACCAGCAACGGGCCGCTGTCCACCGCGGTGCATCAGCCCTCCGCGGTCTTCGACCTCTTGCCGCCGTTGAGCACCTGGGCGCGGGACGCGCTGAGCCAAGCGGCGGTGGCCTCCCAACCCCGCTTCATCTGCGGCTCGATGAGCAATGGGTCTTCTTGTCCTTTTCTTTACAGGTTGTTCTTAAGTTTTTTGGGGTTTCCCTTTACGTGACTTTGACCATCATAATGCGGCCAGTTCTTCCAACCAAGTATTTCCAGCTGAAATGAACCGGTTTTTGTTGTCCCCGGTTGGTTCGAAAGGGAATCGACCTCACTGGACATTCAGTTTTTCCATATTTTGCAGTGGACGAAAACGCCAATGGAAGCCTCCCACCAATGAACATGGAACCTGACGTGACAGGGGAAATCGGTCCTGGTTTGGACCATTTTCCTTTTGAAGGGACAGCGGACGTCAGGCGTTAATTTGTGGGAGGGTACGTTGGGGAATCGAATCAGAAGCCGTTCGGTGCGAAAGGGATAAAACTCTACTGCTTCCCGCCCCCTTCAAAAAAACACGGGTGATATTGCCAACAGCCCCGGAACCCTCGGAAAAAAATTAAGAAGGCAAAAAACAACCTCCTTTTGAACCATTGGTATGTGCGTAGGGGAGAATCGTTTTCCAGGGTTTCTTAGGTGCCACTTGGAGCTCGCAAGCCATCCACATGGCCTGTTAAGCTCGAAACCCCGTTTCGGCCAGCCTGAACAGGTGCTTTGACCTGAGCCTTTTGTGGCCCCGTTTTGCTGCGTTTTTTTTAATGCAGCGAATGCGGCAGCAGTAAGAGGTGGGAGAGAGTGTGCCGTTTTTTTTCTTTTCTTTTTTTTCTTTTCTCGGTAGATGGTTACAAATCCACTTCGATCTCCAAGGTTCGTGGTTTAATTATCAACCAGTCATTTCAAGGCTTTCATCCACCTCTGGTGCGAAGTGGATTTTGTCCCTGCACTGTATTTGGTTGCCCTCGCTTTGATTGCCATGGGATTTATCCAACCATTCATCGTCTCTCAAGCCAGACGTCTCCCGCTTCTTCAGCATCT